CCAGGGGACTGCAGGGAGCCCCGCGAGCTGTGCGGGGACAGGCTCCGCTGGAGGAGTCCATCCGCAGGGCCCCCATTAGGGCAGCCCCCGGGGATGTAGTGGGGTGTGCTGTCACTCTCGATGACCAGGTCACCCTCCTCGTCACTCTCAGCCGTGCTGTAGTTGCTCAGGTACTGCGAGGCCGGGCTGGGGGTCTGCTGGCTGGGGGTGCTGTCTGTGGACATGCCCGAGCTGCCTGAGGCCTTGCTGCTGCGGATGACGTTGTTGCGCTGGTTGGCCGGCTTGACTGTGATGATGAGGTTGTGGCTATTGGCCACCATCATGTCCGTCACCTGGTCCAGGGACTTGCCAGCCACGTCGATGCCATTGACCTCCAGGATCTCATCGCTCACTGCCAGCAGCCCCGTGCTCTCGGCCAAGCCACCCTTCACCAGGCGGGAGATGAAGATGCCGGGCACCTTCTCGACGCCCTGTGGGGCCACGCGCACACTGACACCGTCACGGATGTAGAAGCCCAGTGGCTTGTCAGAGCCGTGCTTGTGGAGCCGCACGCGGCGGTGGGTCTCGGGCAGGATGTCCACGTCAATGATGGAGGAGATCTGGCGGAAGTCCTGGGGCATGCCGATGAGGAGGTGAGACTTGGCCCGGTAGTGCGTGGGGCGCAGCAGCCCCTTCTTCTTCCGCTGCAAGGAGTTCGAGGCAAAGACACCGGTGTCAGACTCTGCTGTAGGGTGCAAGGGAGGACATGGGTCAGGCACCACAGCTGCCCGAGGACCAAACCGCGTGCCCTCGGCCCCAGGTGTTAGGGCAGCCGGCGGGAGAAGTGCCCTGCTCACAGGTCTCGCTGGCTTTTCCTCTCCAGAGCATCACCCCAGCTTTTTCTGTAGCCTGTCTCTGCCAGGCCCATCTCCTGGGATTACCCAGTGTACACAAAGCCAGGATTAGTGGGATCGAGGCAGTGATTCAGCCTTAATCACACTTTAAGCCCAACTCTGCAGCTTAACACTAGAGATGCCAGCCCTGGCGGCCCAGGAGCCATGGCTGTGCCCCAGTTTGGGTTTGGGGAGAGGGGACCCCCCCGCATGAGGGGGTGCTGGGGCGGCAGCCAGCTCCCCAAGGGCGAGTCCGACCCTGTGAGACAGCACCAGGGTCCCCTGTCCCTGCTGGGGTGTGGGCATCGTTAGCATGGGATGGGGGTGGCCCCAGCTGTGTCCTGTGGAGCCCTGCCATCCCCAGGAATGGAGACTCCCCACCTCCTGGAGACCCATCCCAGGGCTGCAGCCTCCCCGGGGTCCTGAACATCCCAAACTGTGATTTGTGCCACCATCCCTTACTCCACCACCATCTGGCACCAGCACACAGGCTTTGATTCTCTCCTCCTTCACCCTGGCCTCAGGCTGCTCAGTGGGGCCCAGCTCCACCACCTCCCCTCCTTGGTCGCATCCCCCAGGTGCCAGGGAGCATCCCCCCGGCCCTCGCTGTTTTCTCCCCATCCATTCCACAGGGGAGCCCAGATCTGGATGCTGTGTTGTCAGCATGTGCCCCCCACCAGCACCCAGGCCCTGCTCCAGCTGCAGGGCACTGGGGATGCCCCCAAGCCTGGGGGATGCAGGGTTTCTCTCTAGCCAAGCCAGCCTGCCAGGGCTCCTGGGTTATAAATATCTCCCTGCACACGCAGCCTGGCGTATTTTTAGCTTGGGGAAGGGCGTCAGAGGCTTTCCCACAGCTATTTCAGCACACGGCTCCTCTCCGAGGGGCACAGAGTAGCTGAGCCAGGCAGATCCAGCGCCCCATGGACGAGCCTGCCAGCGGCCCTGGCAATGTTCTGGCTTTCCCGTGCCCTTCCTGTGAGCCAAGCCCAGCTAAGGAGGGCCCGCGCTGCTGTCCTCAGCCGGGCTGTGGCTGCCCTGCAGGGATGGCTTCACCCCATGGGGTGACAGTGTGGAGAAGAACCAAGCTGCGGCCTTTGCTTTTTGACCCCCTGCGGCAGGGCCAGCTGCCGCAGAGCACACCAAGGAGTGCACACCCAGGAACACGCGCATGTGCACAGCTCCCCACGCCCAGTGCATGAGAGAGGCTCTGCAGCCACATTCCTCGCTGACCCGGACTGGTTCGACGACAGCCCAGCCCCGGGATGACCTGGATCCATTTTAAATCAGCTGTGACTCACCCAGGGCTCACTCCTGGCCTCTCCACACACCTCCCACAGCGCTGCTGGCCCCATGGCCCCTCTCCTGCAGGCACGGCCACCTGCTGGGGTGCCTCCTCCCCCTCCTCATCCCACTGCCCACAGTGCAGGGGCCACGGCTGCCTGCTCTCTGCACCATGCCAGCTTGGCGCGGTCACCCATGGGCCCTCACAGGCTTTTCCCAGCAGCAGACAAGGTGGCTCTGGGAGCAGGGGCAATGCTCCTGTGGAAGCCCTGGCACACCCAGCCCTGCGCCAGCTCCCTGTGCCACAGCCTGGGTCCAGCCCTTGGTCCAGGAACAGGGATGGTTCAGTACCGGCAGCAGCAGCCCTGGATCACCACTGCTGGCCCCCACACCATGCAGCCCCAGAGGAAACGCAGCTCCAGGGTATCCCGTACTGCCAGGAAAACGGGCACAGCAGCCGGGGCCAGCCACCAGCATTGTCCCTTGCCCAGGGACTTCGTACCACTAACATGAGCAGGAAACACGGCGTTGCCTTGGGTGCCATGGCAGGGAGACTGGGGCTTTGAGATCAGGCTCCGGCTTTGTGCACCATTGCTTGATGGTGCTACTAAAGAGCAAGCTGTGGTGCTATGAAACCAAGCAGAAGGGGACAGGCTCATCTCCCTGGCGAAGAGATGTACCCAGAGTGTTTGTCACCAGGAGGCTTTCATCCTCGCCGGGATGCTGCTATCGTGGTGATTTTGTGCTCCCGTGCGAGGAAGTGCTCTCTGGGAATGCACCACTAAAGTCAGGGTGAGCCCCAGGCAGCCAGGGAGGAGACAAACCTCCTCCCGCCACCTAAAACTCAGCACCACCTGCACCCCAACCGCTCGCCTAAGAGGGTGCCTGCTGCCGCCTCGGGGCAGGGAGCCGGACAGGGCTCCCGGCAAGCGCTCACAGGAGCAACGTGGTGTTTTCCAGGAGCTCATGCAAGCCCTGCTGGAAAATGCGACTTCAAAGGGGTGAATCGCAAGGGTTTGCCTTTGCTCGCCAGGGCACGTGGGGCCAGGCTGGCGTGGGTGCCTTTGCCACAGGGAAGGGCTGCCAGGGAGAGCCTGTGCGGGTGCCACGGCCCTGGTGGGGGTCTGGGAGCCTCCCGGTGCCGCCACTG